AAGAAATGTGAGACTCTTGGCAATAGAACAGGACACGCGCACAGTTTGAAACTTGGTTTTCGAAAAAAAGCAGAACTATTTTAATTAAAGAAAAAATTTAAAAGCAAAACCTAAAAATCTATTAAATCCTAAAATATCAATATTCTTTTATCCCGTTTTTTTTATGAATATCAAGGAAGTTTTTAAAATAATGAGATGATTTCAAGTCTGTAGACGTCACTGGGTGTAATCTAGATTGTTCACAGTGAAGCTTTTTTAGCAAAATGCTGCGACTGATTTCCTTAAAAAAGAATTTGCACGTTCGAAAAATGATGATGAATGGATCAAGGTTTGCTGATAAGAAAATCGCACATGAAAATGGGACACAGATGCGTTGCATTAGCAAGGAAAGGCTTTCCACAAACTCATCACAATATTATGAAAGTGGAAAAATTCATTTGAAGCAAAAATGTGTTCAACTGTAATCAATTGTCGTCTATGGCAGTGAATCCTGGAAACTTCCTTATGAAGGGAAGTCTTCAGACAAGAGACGTGTTTTTTTTCTTTTGTTGTTTTGTAAACTATAAACCTTAATTTAATTGTTTTCTTTCTCTCTAAGCACTTGTTCTTTTTCATTTCATTTCTTTCTTTCTTTCTTTCTGAACTATTTACCTTAATTTATTCTCTCTTTACAGATTCTTTGTTATGTACTATCAAACCTTCTCTATGGCAGTGAATGCTGGGCAATTTCGTCACAGACGAAGGAGAGCATGGAGGCAACAGACATGTACTTCTTTCTTTCTGTCTTTCTTACTAATCATTTCCTCCTACTTTCTATCTTTCTTTTCATTTCTTTGTTACTTCCTTTTTATTTCTTTATTCCTTTTAATTCATTACTCTTTTTTTTCTTTTTTTTATTCCTTACTTAATTTCATTCTTTCTCTCTCTTTCTCTTTCAAAGCATTCTTTCTTTCTTATGTAATATCAATATTCCTCTATAGTAGTGAATGCAGGGCAATTTATTTAGAGATTAAAAAGAGACGTTAGGCAATGAGATTTGGTTCTACAGAAGGATTTTGAGAATATCGCGAACGGAACGTTTTAACAAAGATGAAGTCTTACAGACAATGAGGAGAAAAATAAGACTTTTACTTACATTCAGCAGGAGACACTTGACGATGGCTTCGAGAATTTTACACTCACAGGATAATTTGGAAACAAGGGGGAGGGGCAGATGGAAAAGGCGAGTTCCAAAGTTGATCTGCTTTTGGAAATGGATACCAGAACACAGATTGCTTTAAGAAGAGGAAACAATTTTTAAAAATGAATATATTCAGAGACAGCTTTAATTTTAATGCTACGAAATAAGTAAAGAAGGCTTGGAAACTTTGACACTCACATGTAAGGGAAGAGAAGCCGATGAAAAGTTTCGGTTAATGAGTAGCGGGAGAAATATCTCAAAGACAAACAAGAGACAGTCTTGATGAAATCGTCAAATGAAAGGAAAGTATGGAGAACCACTATCGTTTATGTCCTGAAGAAAGAGGAAGAGAGCGAGCGAGCGAGAGAGCGAGAGAGAGAGAGAGAGAGAGAGAGAGAGAGCGAGAGAGAGAGAGGGGAAAGAAAGAAAGAAAGAAAACTGTTCTCACAAATAAGATTTCAGAAAGAAATCGACATTGAAAAGATGACGAAGATATTTACACAAAGAAAAAGATTTAATGAAATTACAAAAGGAAAAGTGCAAAAGGAATAAAAAAAATGGCGATGAAGGATATAGAAGACTGCGTCATAGAACGAAGAAGAAGGTGACTAAGAAAGGTCAAAAGGAAAAACGTTCGAGAAGAAGAAAGAGAAAGACATGTAGAAACGAGTCTAGAAATTGAAGAAAGACAGAATAAAAAACCCGGAAGGAATGAAAAATAAAGAAAAAGAGAACCAATGATTAGAGAAAGAAAGAAGAAAGAAAGAAAGAAAAAAGAAGAAAGAAAGATATATTAAAAAGAATGTAAGAAAGAGGAGAGAAAGAAAGAAAGAAAAATGAAGGGAAAAGAAAGATGAAATAAAAAAGAAATAGGAAAGAGCAAATAAAGAAAGAAAGAGGAACGAAAGAAGAATGGAAGAGGAACGAAAGATGAAAAAAAATAAGAAAAAGGAAGAGGAAAGAAAGAAAGATGGAATAAAAAAGAAAGAAAGAAAAGAAAGTGGAAAGAGCAAAGAAACGAAAGAAAAGAAAGATGAAAGAAAGAAGAAAAGAAGAAGGAAGAAAGATGAAATTAAAAAGAAAGAAAGAAAGAAAGAGGTAATATTGAAAGACGAAATAAAGAAAAATGAAGATGAAAGATAGATGAAATAAAAAACAAAAAGAAACAAAGATGAAAGAGCAAAGAAAGGAAGTGGAAAGAAAGAAAGATGGAATAAAAAAGAAAAGAGCAAAGAAAGAAAAGAAAGAAATGTAAAAGAAAATGAAAGTGTATTTTTTTTACATTAAGGATCGACCTGTAAACGGCTCGGGGACCACTCTAGACAGATGGTTACGTTAAGGGGTACTTTATAGGGACAGGTGGGGGAAGAGAGCGGTTAACTCCAGACTTGAACAGGTGACTAGGGAAACATTCTCTTGAGAGTCTGTTCCACATGACATTAGTTCGTGGGAAGAAGCTGTTTCAGTGTAGGAGAGATAACAAAAAGACAAAATTTACAAAGAACTACAAAACACAAGTCATGATCGACAACGTCTGAACGGACATGGCGCAGAGAAGAAAAAGAAGAAATAAAAAGAAGAGAAACAAGAAACAACAACAACAACAAAAACAACAACAACAACAACAATAATAACAATAATAATAATAATGAATAAAGAAAGATGAAATGACTAAAACAAAAGAAACGGTGAATGAAGAAAATGAGAACGTATGATTAAAGAAAGAAAGAAGAAAAAAGAAAGAAGAAAGAAAGAAAGAGGAAAGAAAGAAGAAAGAGGAGAGAAAAATGAAAGAAAGAAAGAACGGAAGAAATAAATAAAGAAGAAAGAAAGAAGAAAGCGGAAAGAAAGAAGAAAGCGGAAAGAAAGAAAGAAAGAGACGAAAGAAAAATATAGAGGAAAGAAAGAAAGAAACAATAAAAGGAAGAGAAAATAAAGAAAGAAAGATGAAAGAAAAAAAAGAAAGAAAGAAAGAAAGAGGAAAGAGAAAAGAAAGAAAGATTGAATAAAAAAGAAAAGAACGAGGAAAGAGAAAAGAAAGATAACTATTGGTGAAAGACAAAATATAAAATGGAAAGAAATGTCAAATAAAGAAAATGTTTAAAGAAAGTAATATTCATTGATTTTTTACTTTTGCCATTTTTTACGGCTTATCAACCTTTTGCGGGTTATTTAATGCCTGAAAAGAGGATGAGAAAATGAAAGAGATATCTGAGTAAAAAAACCGATCCTATGAAGAGAAAAAAAAAGACGTTAAAAAAAGAAGAAAATATCTAAGCAAAAAAAGAATGCATAAAGAAAGAACCAGCAGCAACAGAAGAAGGTTGATTGATTGTGTTTTTGACGGCTTATCAACCCTTTGCAGGTTAATTTAAACCAGAAAATACTTTTTAAGACTGTAAAAAATTGTTTGTAGATAGTATTGATTTTGATGATACAAGTGCAACTAATTTAGTTATAGTTGCAGCGGGAGGAGGGAGAAGAGCTGAATTCATACCTTTGTGAAACGTGTTCCCGCGTAAATAAATATATCGAACCTGATGTTCCACTCCGAGCCGTTAACCATTACGCAGATTGCACATACATTTCCCAAAGAGGTAATCCATCAAGTTACTGACCTGTTGTGTCGTTGCTTAACTTCGGTGATTGTACGAGAAGAGGAGTTTAATCGTGATTTCATCAAATGTCGCATGAAGAAAGTAATGAATAAAAACTAAAAATAAATAGATATATAATTTGGGCTGTAACATTGAGTTAGAGAGTTGTCACCCTTGACGTCACTGTAATCTGTGATGTCGAAATAGTTTACCATCATTCACAGGGTAACATGGCTCCGTTTGAATGAAGTAAGTAATAATAATAATAATAATGAAGAAAGATGAAAACAAAAGAATAACATAAAACGGAAGGAAAGGTTAATAAAGAAAATGAGAAGGGATGACTAAGGAAGAAAAAGAAAGAAAGAAGAAAAAAGAAGAAAGAGAGAGGAAGAAGGAGAGATTAAATAAAAAGAAAGAAAGAAAAAAGAGAGAAAGAAAAAAGAAGAAAGGAAGAGGAAAGAAAGAAAGAAAGAAAGAAAGATGAAATAAAACAAAGAAAGAAAGAACGAAGAAAGAAATAAAGAATAAAGAAAGAGAGAAAGAAAGAGGAAAGAAAACCAAAATAAAAAAGAAAGAAAGAACGAAATAAGGAGGAAAGAGAGAAAGAAAGGGGAAAGTAAGAAAGAGCAAAAAAAAAAAAAAAAAAGAAAAACGAAAGAAAAAAGACGAAAGAAAGAAGAAAGGAAGATGAAAGGAAGACCGAAGAACGAAAAAAGAAACGAAGCGAAAAGAAAGAAAGATAAAATAAAAAAGAAACAAACAAACAAACAAGAAAAGAAGAGGAAAGAAAGAAAGATAAAATAAAAAAGAAAGAATGAAGGAAGAAAGAAACAAGAAAGGAAGAGGAAAGAAAGATGAAATAAAAAAGAAAGAAAGAGGAAAGAGAAATGAAAGAAAGAAAAAGAAAAAGGAAGAAGAAGAAGAAAGGAAGGAAGGAAAGAAAGAAAGATGAGAGGGCAAGAAAGACAGAAATAAAGAAATGAGTTATGAAAATTGAAGAATTACAGACAAGGATTCCTGGGCGAAGATCAAAAAGGAAACGGGCGGTTATCTTCAAGACAGTCGAAATAAGAATAATAGAAAGTAAAGAAAAGAAAACAAAAGAAAAAATATAACACCTTGCTGAGTCGAGGTTAGGCAGTTTTGGATTTGGCAAACTGCTTTTTTGGGAACAGTGACCGACTGGAGAACATTGAAATGTTGGCGTCAGATGCGAGGAA